CTTAGTTGTGATTGTGGAGTTGATACTTCCACTTCACTAAGTCTAACTTCTCCTGGTTGTTGATACACACCAGTTTGCCAAAGACTCTTAGGTACTTCTTGTTTGATATCGTCACCATCAAGCAATTCCTCGAGCTTTTCTGGACTCAATTGGATTTGGGCAGCTTGGTCTCCCATTTTCTCCTGCAACATATCTTCAATCTCTTTTGAGTCAGGCAACATCTCATTTTATGAGCATCAACACGATGATGTTTCTGCATCCCATTCTTCCTCCATAGCTAGATATGCTACGGTGTCCCAATCATCTTCAATTTTCTTCTTTGAGTTGGCAACGTTACTTTCTGCGGGCTTTTAAATCAGTAATCTTTCGCCATGTGGCCCTTCTTTCAACAATTGTAATATTTGCCCTCAAACCTTTTATTATAGGATTGACCATTAATGTCGTGATACTTCGGAGCTCCCCCTAGCCGAGAACTCCCTCCTCCTTGATGACCTTTTTCTTTGTCACCATTTCTTTTAGATCCACCACCAGCATGCTACTTAAAACTGCCTTTACTTTCGGTGTAGAACGCTTCCTCCTCACCTTTTAATGAGACCCCTCCCATTTGCTTTGCCAGAGCTTCTTGATCGGCAAGCAAATTCTCAAACTCAACAAGTGATGGTTGGGTCGGCCATCCTACGAAGCCTTGATATTCGGGTCTCAATCCATGGATAATTATTCTTTTTATCCTGGATTCTACAATGGCAGCACTATGATCTAATTCAGAAATAAACTTCTTAAGAAGAAAAGATTTGTTTAAAGAAGCAAAATTACGAATACCAAGATTCCCTTCACTATAAGGAACACAACAGTTTTTCCAAGAGACTGCCAAAAATCCTTGCGAATCTGTAGAACCAGTCCATTAAAATTACAAGCCCAAGAACGTACTTGAGCTAGAATAGAAGCAGGCCATGTATAAATTGAAAAAAATATGTGATAACATACTGACTACCACAAATTTAACCAGTGTGAGGCGACTCGCTATAGATAGAGAGTGACCATTCCAATGTGACATACGTTGCCGCACCTTATCAGCTAGAGGTCGGAAAAAAGAGCGCTTGGGTCTTCCACGAAAAAGAGGAACACCTAAATAAGTGAAAGGTAACTCACCATAAGAAATCCCCAACCAAGAAACAATTAAAGAACGATGTGGCAGAGCATATTTTCCGATGTAAACACGAGACTTTGGCTTGCTAATAAATTGACCAGAGTTAACACCGTACTCATCCATGAAAGCCATGAGGTTCTGTAAACTTCTCTTATAACCTCTACAAAACACAAGGATATCATCATAAAAAAGAACATGTGATGGAGCCACTACCCCGCGAGGAGAGGACATAGAATTAATACAGCCTGAATTACGAAGTTCAAGGATTCCTCTACTAAAAACCTCTTCAGCAAGACAAAAAAGAAGATCAGAGAGCGGATCCCCTGATGAACCCCTCGTGAACAACCAAAAAAGCCAATTGGAGATCCATTAAAAATAATAGACAAATGTGCTGAGGCAAAATAGCACCAATCCACTTGACGAACGTTGCATGAAACCCAAAAGCTGATAGAACATTTGTGAGAAAACTCCAGCTTAACGTACCAAAGGCCTTAGCCACATCATATTTAATGGCCATATTCCCGCCATAATTCATATTATCAAGCAAATTAATACCTTCTGAAGCTAATAAGATACAATCTAAAATATGTTAGAGTATGAGTGTGATTCTTACAGTTTAGTAATAATCATTGTTATTTTAGATTGGTATAAAGAGGCCTTAATGTGTTTATAAGAGTTAATTCAACTTTGGTTTGGATTGAAACTCTACTGTTGGCTCGAGAATAGAACTCATACTTATACAAGGATTTGGTCTTGTATTCCTTGTAGGATTGTAATAGGGCAATCTATGTTTAGTATAAAAACATAAGCCATTGCTCTCACAAACATACGCTCAATATTGAACTAAGACCTATTGTTAGTTTGAGTACTTTTGGTTTTGCAAGAGAGGAGAAGGTGCACTGTTTGAAGTCTGATTTGGCTTATTCTTCTACTGCTTTTACGGGTTAGTTTGTTATTGTGTTTATCGAATTGTGATTTTAATACTTGTATAAATTTGTGGTTCATGAGCTTAATCTCTTAACTTATATTTTTGATAAGTTTAATCTTACAAAATATTCCTGCCTTTGAGAAAAGCAAACTGGTTTGGCAAAATAATTCTGGCAGCAATAGGAGCAAGACAACTAGCAAGTATCTTGGTAATAATTTTAAAAGAAAAATTAGCCAATGCAATTGGACGTAATTGGGATATAGTATTAGCCTCTGGTGATTTCGCAATCAAAGCCACAAAATTAGAATTGAGATTAGGGAGAATATAACCAGACAGAAAAATGAGCAAATTGCTCTCACAACATCAACACCAACAAAATCCCAAGCGGCACGAAAAAAATGCCCACCAAAATCATCTGGACCAGGAGCACTGTTAGGATCCATAAAAAATATTGTGGAACGAACTTCATCAAAGGTAGGGACAACTAATAATGAATCATTTTCAGAGGTAGAAACCATAGGAGAAATGAGCCTTGAAACTATACCTATATTAGTAGTGGAGCCATCATCAAAGAAAGCAGTAGAAAAATGATCAACAACCACTAGAACAAAACAATTCATCTACCACATCAATTCTATCACGGGCATATATAGCTCGTGGTAAAAACTATTCAATTACCACGGCTAAGTTTAACTCGTGGTAGATAACATTAATCCACCACGGTCAAATTTTGGCCCGTTGTTAAAATCGAATAATCTACAACGAACATTTATATTTGTGATGAAATATCATAATTACCACGAGATATGCTCGTAGTGGTTATTTCAAATTACCACATCGTCTTTTGTGAATTCATCACGCCTTTGGCCCGTGGTGGATGTTTTTATCTTCATAATTAAAAATATTTGGAGGAGGCGGGAGATTAAAAATTTGGAGGGCTGCCAAAATTTTGGCATGGCACCTAAAATCTCTAACTCCCTATTTTCAAAGAGTGCGCGTTAGCTCTCCCTCCTCATTTTCATCTCTCTCTTACAACTTCTCTGTTCTCTTCAGAAATTTCCAAACGCCTCCACCTTTGCATACTCGAGCCCAATTCAACCTTTTCGGAATCAGAAACAAAACCATCTCTAATTGCAAACCCGGCGAGTTCCTCGCGAACTCGTCCTCCCTTCCGTCGACTGCGCACCCAAGTCCACGGCTTCTTCTGTTAGGTAAAAATCCCAAAGCGTGTTCCAATATGCTCATGTATGTGTTATGTATATGAAAATCCATACGAGAATTCTCTGAAATTCGATCACGGCGTGGCTCCGATGGCTCCTATTTAGATGATAGGTATAGGGGATACAAACGAAGCCGATCTGATTTGGGTTCGGATCCATATGGGAAGCGGTATGATGTTGGTCCCGATGCGGGTATGGAGACAGTGTTTATGCTTACGGAGGTGATAAGGTGGAGCCGTATGGGTCGTGATTTTGAGTGCCCAAAATGGAATGTAGACATTCTGCATTTGAAGTCTATTCGTTTGTTAGCATAGAAGGTTTAATGTTTAGGAGGGATAGACAATTTCATTATGATAGGTTCGGTTTAGTTATAATTGTCCAATAGCCGGCAAGTCCTCCCATATTTGTGTGCAAATCATCACTCTATCGCAACTAGTTAGTCATGTAAGATGATTTTTAATGAATTAAGATGATTTTTAATGAATTACTCTGGCTTCCTTTCTTCGATTCTACTTCTGAGAAAAGCAGGTACGGCAGTGCGCCTCTCTGATATCTGCTCTCACCACCATCAAGGTTTAATCATCAAGTGAAGTATCAGAGCTTGGTTTTCAACTTTCAGACTTGCACACCAGGTGTTTGTTTTTTTGTTCTCAAAGAAAACTGATTTGTAACCGTGCCTTGGTTTTCAACTTTCATTGCTTTCTTTGATTCTCCATTTTCTATTTATCCATTATCCCCAGTTTTTCCCCTCAACACCGTTACAAGATGTGATGTAAGTTCATTTTACTTTAGCATCAAGTTCGTTAAGGAACTTTTAATTTATGTATTGAGGTAAAAGTAATTTGTATGTTTATTTTTCTTCAAATGCAATCAAATAGTTACACTGCCAACACCTTTTTGGATAAAGTGACTGCTGCAACTGTACAGGTTGGAAACTTGGGAATTTTGCCTTTCCCTTTGTCCTAAAAGAATAATGGTCCCCCTTATTTATTGACAACATGTGATTAATTAGGGCCTAGGTGATGTTTTCCTTGTTTATGCTCCTGTTATTTGATATGTTGTCATGTAGTAAATATAAACATTGATACTTGTTTTGAGATGTATGTGATGCTTTGGTTCCATGTGAAAATTATTGAAGGTGGGCTGGAGTAGTTATGTAGTAAGTATAAACGTTGATACCTGTTATTTGATATACATAAGAAAATTAAAATTTCAATATATATACATCACTCTACCCTCTTTAGAAATATAATTAGCTAGAGTAGTTATGATTTCGTTATGTACTCAAGTTCGAATTGTTCTTCCGTAATTTAGTGGATTTAGTGTAAAACAAATATGCATTCCTTGTAGTTTAGATGAATTTGTGTAAAAATAGCTTAAATCAAAAGAAAAACAGTTTGTTATGTAAGTTAAATGGTATCATAGAATTAAAATGTTGTGTCAATCATGACCTAGCTAGGGTTTGGTGCTACTATATTAGTATTAATTTGTTGAGTTAATCACATTTATGTACTTATATAATTGCAGAGGAAGGCACCGGAATGGCTAAGAGCAGTAGCAACGAAGAAGATGAATGTGATTAAGGGTGCACTGCAGCAAATGTGGCATAGAAACAGGACGAGATGTCTGAGATGAACGATTACCATACGGCAGAGCACAGTGGATGATGTGCTGAGGGCCAAGTCTATGGTTGACTTTGGCAAGAAAACAGCACCGTACCCTAAACATTACTGTTGATCTTGCTTCCATACACATTGATGCCCTTGATGTAGTCAGCGGGAATGGCCATGAGGTAAACCCTAACTATTTAAGTATTCTAAATTGAGTGTTGTTTCTTGTTACCTGTTAGGGATATGCAAAAAGGATAGAAATTTCTACAGCAAAGTCAATTTACAAACAAACAGTTCAGTGTAAGAATGTCACAGAAAATACAGATTTTCAACTTCCAAGTAAATGGTGATTAATTGATTATGTAGCATGCAATCGTGTACATTGGAACATCCCAAGGAGTGTATGGCGCTCGGGCGACAATCAATGTGTGGTCCCCTTTGATCGAACACGTAAACGAGTTCAGTTTCGTACACATCCAGTTCTCAATTACTCATTGACGCAATCTCATGGTTTTGCAGACTCATGTGAGAACAAAAGGTGATGATCTACACGAATGCATAAAGGTATGGATGAATTCTGATATCATGAATTTTGATCGCATTTTCATTTATCCATTTAAGTTCCTAAGAGTTTCGATTGCAATTTAATATAATCATTGTATATTAACGTAGCTGTCAATGTGCTACATTTGACAGAGTCTAGAGTGGTTGTTAAAGTATATATGAGAGTATCCTAGCAGGTAAAGGAACATGTAATTTTTCAAGAGTTCTATTCACTTTTCTTGATTGAGATCAAATGTATATTTCTACCTCTACAGGTACAAGATTTTTTTCTTAATCCATATGCTTATGTCCATCCAGATAGAGAGAGGTAATAATTACTGAGGCTCAAGCATTAGGGGTAGTAATTCACTCTCAAGGTCCTTTGTTTGGAGGTGTTCAAAGAAATATGAAGTCTTCAAGTGACAATGTCGTTGTTTGTTAGAGGTCTCTAGATAGTTTGGTATTTATTTGTATATATCTCATCGTTTTGTTGTTAGCTTTAGTTTAGTGTACAACTGTAATGTTTGAATGTATGATTTTTTATTTAATTGTTATATTATAGTAAATGTGTAATTTTGTTTATAAATATTATATAATACATTTATTAAACAATATTTTTTTTTTTAATTTTTAGAATTTTTTTTATAACAGGCATTAGCCGTGGTCAATTTGTAATCCACAACGGTTATAATGCACGTGGTGTTAGATCTTAATCTACAATGGGGCACAATCTGTGGTTATATTACAATTGACAACGGGCATAACCCGTGGTAGAATCTGTGACTTTCTATCATATCCAGATTACTAACGGGCACAGTGTCCGTGGTGGATTGTAATCTACCACGGGCATTGACCGTGATAGATGAGCTTTTTTCTACTAGTGAACAACATGATATCGCAAACAATCAACATTTTCCACCAAGTCCGAACCAATTTGCAAAGAGGAAATAAAATTACGAGTGCGACGAATTTTAGCAATCTTATGAAAGTAACTCATATTTCGATCCCCATCTTGTAACCATTTTAAACGAGCCTTATTACTAAAAAAAATTTCCTGAACAATTAAAGCATGATAGAGATGAGAATGCACTTGTAACTCAGCCTCATTTTGAATCTCGGGAAACCCCAAAGTAGAAATCTCAAGCTGAATAGATTCTAATGCATTCTGAGCAGAGTCAACTGCGGTGTTAACATTACCGAAAATATTAGAATTCCAAGCTTTGAGAAGAGGCTTCAATAATTTAAGCTTTGCTTGCAAAACATACTTTGGACACCCAAAATCTGGAAAGAACCCCAAGCCTCCTTTACAAAATTGATAAAATCCGGTTGGTCCAACCAAACACGCTGAACCCAAAAAGGTGTTGTGCAACGTAATGTTGAAAAGAGACTGTTGAAAAAAAAAAATACATGACATATAAAAAATAAGGTCCATACAGATTGGGTCAAACTACAAGGCAAAACAAGATGTAATCCAGCCCAACAAAAATGAGGATGGGCTTTACATACATCCATAAATAAATAAAATATGCATTTCCCTACAAAAGAGGGAAGAAACATACAAAATCAACGGCTCCCCCATTTTCTGCAACAAAAAGAAAAGTGGAGTCAGTTTAAGAGAAAGTGGCGAAAAGAAAGGCCTCTATCCTCCCCCACGTAAGAACTCTGGAAACCTCCTAAGATGCCTATAAATAGGCATCAACCACATCAAGGAGGGGACGAACAAAAAAAAGAGGGAGACGCTGCAGAAATTGAAGCACACGGGGGACGGAAACAAGAGAGGAGACGCTGCAGAAATTGTGAAGCACAGAGAAGACAACAGAGAGACAAAGCAAGAGAACAAAGGTACAACAAAGGAAAAGAAAGAAGAAGAAGAAGAAATCAAACGCTACACAGCATTTGAAGGTATGAAGCCATCTCATTTAATTTTTTTTTTGGGTTGTTTCCTTCTTCTGCTTTGTAGGAAGAAAAGAGGCACTTTGCTTCTTCAACTTTTCCCACTCCCTAGCATTTTCGAGTTGCAGTCCAACAAAGCCAACGAAATCACCACTTCCGCTCCCCGCCGCTGCAGTTTAATCCCATGAATTTCTTCGGGGTCTAAACCACCCCGTGAAGTTCCGATCAAATCCAAGAGCTCCGCTCTGTGCTGCTGCAGTTTAATCCCATGAATTTCTTCGGGGTCTAAACCACCCCGTGAAGTTCCAATCAAACCTGAAAGTGAAGGAAAAATAGAGATTGTAAAGTCTGCTAAAAGAAAGCTACGGCAGGGAATAAAAAAAAGGAAGTTGTCTTCAAAGTTGCTGGGAAATTTGACACAAACACAAAGAAAAGATGAGATGGAAATGGATTGATAGAAGCTCCAAATCAAAAGTAAAGGAAATAAGTAAGTTTTCATCAAGAAAAGTTTTGTGCAGTACTCGAGATGACGATACTATAGCACTCACTGCTTCTGGAAAAATCGAAGAAGTCTTCTGCTTGAGAAATGTGAAGAAAAACAGCAAGATGGGCGACTGCTTTTTCCAATTTCATATATGTTTCTCTGCACAAGGAAGGAAAAGTTTATACAATGAGTTTAAAAACTCTAAAGGAAGAAAAGTGTTCCAGATACCTTTATAAAGCTAAGTATGATTTGTTTTTTTTTTTCCTGATGCCACGAAAGGCCTACACCTCACGTGAAGAAGAACAGAGAGGTTGAAAATTGGAAGTTGTTGGATTTGGAAATCAAGACTGCACCCCACGTGGAAAGTTGCCTAGTGACTGCCCCATCTAAATTATGGGTTTTAATTGGAATTGAGGAATGGAGACAACTGACAAAAGGTCCCAGAAAAGTAAGAAAAAAACAAGGGGCCCGGCCTTTCATTCTTTCAAAGTATCAAAAAGTTTTATTTCAAAGTTTCAAAAAGTTCTATTTCAAGGTTTCAAAAAGTCCTATTTCAAATAGGATGGGATTGTTAACCGTGTGAAAAAGTCATGCAAAGATGAATCCTAATTCACTAAGGATTTATAACACAAGGGAAGCCCTTCAACCAACCAAAAATAAAAGGTTGTTTAAATGCCTTTTTAGTCCATATGGTGTGAATCCCACCTTCCACTCAAAGAAAGGACAAAGTCCCATTTACTTTGTACTGCACATCCCTCGTGGGTTGCTATTTAAAGAAAAAAAAGTGAAGTCCCATTTCACAAAAGGTCATGTATGGGTTTCAAACAAGTCTGAATACCCAATTGACTTCTCATTTTTTCCAAGTCTGAACACAAGAATGCAAACCCAAATCAAGCAGTTATGAACTACGCCGGTTTGATTCCATTAAGGATACGTAGGCAGTCTAATATCAAATTATAGACGCAACCGTGAAATCAAGACAAATCCATGGTTTATATAAACTAGATTCATTTATGTTACTTTGACCAAGTAATTACAAATTCTACGAAGAGAAAGAGAAGCGAGCCGGTTCAAATTACGAATGACACAAAGCCGCTTCAAAATTCAAATGGCATGAAGCCGCTTCAAAATTCAAATGGCATGAAGCCGCATCAAATCCCAAAAGGCTCGAAGCCGAAGAAAAATCTCGAATGGCATGAAGCTACATCAAATTTTCAAATGCTCCTCGCCCGCAGGAGCTAAAACTGCATAAGGCACCAATAGCTCCAACGGCTTAAAGTCCTCGCCTGCATGAGCTAAAACTGCACAAGGCATCAGTTGCTCCTTGCCTGCACGAGCTGAAACTGCCCAAAGCATCAAACCTCAACAAATACATGAACTACGAGTGACTTGATCCCTCAACTAGGGTACGTAGGCAATCTAGGATTCTACCTAGATGCAGTCACAAAATCAAACAAACACCCAAATCCTCAAGTTATGATTTATTCAAATTAGAATCAAAGGGTATGCCTTTCCAAAAGAAGGGTTGTAATTAATAGGCGCGTAGCCTAGAATGGGTCGAACTCGAATTAATAAAACCCTATTCGGAAAAATGAACGAGGGTGAAATTGTGTCGAGTGAATTATTTGTTTACATATTATGTACAATTTTGCTCAACAGAGACTAAAAGTGGATTATGGTCCGAAGAATGACGTGCAAGAGTTGAGCAATTAGTAATTGGCCAGGTGTCATACCAAGAGGAAGAACAAAAACAACGATTAGAAGCATTTCAATGTGCGAAGAAATACCATGACCATTAGTCCATGTAAAAGGGGAGCCTTTAGTGTCAATCGGTAAAAGACCACGCGTATCAACCATTGCCTGAAATTCCTCGCAAGAAGAACATCGTGGTAGAATGCCACCAATTTTTTCATGCGCACCCAAAACAGCATTAAAATCTCCCAAAATAAGGTGAGGTCTAGCAAAAATAGAACAATCATGAGCAAGTGAAAGCCAAAGGGAACGACGTTCCACCACAGTAGTAGCCGCATAAACAAAGGAAATACCATGAGTAATACCATTCAAATTAAAATGAACAAAAACATGTTGATTAGAGCACTATAAGAAAACAGTTCATTTACCACATCAAATTTACCACGGACACCATGTGCCTGTTATAAAAAATGAACATTTATCACAGGCCTAGTCAGCATGTTATGGATAACAATATTTTACAACGGGCAAGTAGTAGCTCGTTATGATAAAACAACTTACTACCACGGTCTTAGTCAGCACGTTGTGAAAGTATTAAAGCACCACGTACATTGTCCGTGATCAATATTGTTAGTAGCCACACTGCATTTTTTTATCTACCACGGACATTAAACGTGATGCCGTTACACACTATTTTAAAAAGTTTCAGAAGGTGGGACTAGAAATTTTCTCAAATTTTCAAATCTTTAAATTTTCACAATATTCCATTACTTCCCAAAATTTAAGTGAAATCATTCCTCAATCTTTTTTACTTCCTTTTTATTCTCTCCCACCGACGCCAACTTCAAAACTTCCCAACCGTTCTTAGTTAGCCAAGGTACAAACTACCTTAGGAGAAGAGGCTTGCACTGAATGAAAAATCCATAAGTTAGGTTGCTGAAGGCCACGATCATTAACCCCTAGTAAATTCATACTAATTGACCTCCAAAAGTAAGGATGAACCCGTTTGAGAGGAACAAATGGTTCGGCAATACAAATAATATCTAGAGAATATTTATGGACAATACTACGAAGAGTTCGGCGTGTTGGACGATTGCCAACGCCCCTAATATTCCAATAAAGCACCTTCATTGAGTAATTGTTTTTTTAGAAGTAGTCCTAGCCCGTGTCTCGATGGGCTCAGGACGCGAATCACCATCATGAAGTTTTTTTTGTAATCGTTGCTTCTGTAATTTCGAAAGAACTAGAGTCATGTCGGTATCATCAATATCCTTCCCAAGAGTGGACGCACTAACGGTATTCGAAGGTACCTCCGATTCTGCCATATCAAACCAAGATGTAACATGTTGAAGATCCCTTTGTGCCCTTGAAGTAACCAAGTTCACCAGACTAGGCAAAATGATAATCTCATTAGCACAAGCATGGGTATTTTCAAACCCTGGAGGAGGGCCAACAGGTTCCACAACAATAGAAAGTAAATCTGAATTGCTCAACTATTTATATGCACATGCAAAGTCCCTTCTTTTCTCAAGGTGAAATTCACTCTCAACACCAGATACCAGCTAAACCTTGTCTCTCTATATATACCAGGCATTTCAGCCTCCCCCTAGTGAATCATACAATAGTGGCTAGGGGGAAACTAAAATGCCCCTGTGAGTTTTTCTGGCTCCCGAAAAGGTGAACTATCGTGGCAAAACCACCAGCTGTTCCCTTTTTAAAAGAATACACACACACACCACTGATCATTTTTTTTTTCTTTCCATTTATCTTTTTGAAACCCCTGCACTTTTTTTTTCAAGCTACATCTAATTATTTCGAACCTCACAACGGGTTTTCAAACCTGTGCGAATACGATGAACTTGTCTACGCCAGGTCTTCTTTGAAACCCTTAATTAACAGACTAACAAACCACATTACAAACTACAAACGAACATATGTTTATCAATTGAGAAGAAAAATTGTCATGACGACTATGCACTAAGGGTGTGTTTGGTTGCTATCACTAGCCTTCATTGGACTAGACTGGACTAAAACTTAGAGCAATACTGTGTTTGTTACACAGCAGGACAACCTTTAGTGGGATTAGCCAGAACTCACCTCGACAAAGGACGTCGCTAGACGGTCTTAGCGAGTCCCATCCAAAAGCATCGGATTGCTAAGACCATCTCTAAAGAAGATGTCAAAGTTTAAACACAAAATTTAAATTTGAAAGCTTATGTGGCATAGGGATGACAATTCTAACCGTTAAACCCGATAACTGTGGATAACCGCTCAAATGGAATGGATTTGGGTATATTCTGGATATGGGGAAAAACCGTTTATATTATTCGGTTATGGTTTTGAATATGGTTATAGAGGTCCCCAAACCGTATCCATAACCGAATCCGACCCGATTAGTAAATAATATAATATATATATAATATTATAGTATAATATATATATTTGTATATCTATTATTCACCGAAACAAAAGTTGCATTTTGTAGGAAAGTAAAGTTTTGAATCAAAATCAATGTGAACTCAATGGTGCTTATGAGAGATATCAAAGATAAGCCAACATCATTAGTGTTTTAATTTTTATACTCAACATGATCCATTCATTGGATCGTTTTTTACGTCAATATATATAGATATAGATATATTTGTATATCTATTATTCATCGAATTATTACCTTGAAAATACAAAAGTTGCATTTTGTAGGAAAGTAAAGTTTTGAATCAAAATCAATGTGAACTCAATGATGCTTATGAGAGATATCAAAGACAAGCCAACATCATTAGTGTTTTAATTTTTATACTCAACAAGATCCATTTATTGGATCATTTTATACATTAAATGTTTAATGACGAAATTAATATCTACTAACTTATAATGTCTCAACTGAACGAATATATTTTTTGTATTGACGAAGATGGATATACCCGTTAACCGATGGGGAATCCGTTACCCGGTGGGTATGGTTATGGATAATACCCGATGGTTAATTTACGGTTATGGATATGGTTAATTTTCGTGGTTATAGAGATGGATATAGCATTTCCGTCCCCAAACCGAACCGTTGCCACATTGATATTTTTATAAATTTTATTTCCCAACCGATATGTCAAATTTAAACTATTATTTATTACATTATTTACTTTTTATAGTTGTAATTAGTATTTGAAAACAAAAGATAAGTATAAAAACTATGAAAAGCATTTATTAATTACTAAAAATATATTTGAAGTCTGCTGACAAATTTGATAGCAACTTCTTCTGGTGCTTTTTCATGTCATGCCACATAAGAATTGACATTTCGATTGAAAAACATTAATGATGTCTTTTATTACCGTTATTGCTAATGTGAACTTTTTAACAGCAACTTCCTCTGATGTGACCTTCGCTGCTTCTCTTCATCTACTTGTGATAAAAATATATTTGAAGCCTGCTGACAAATTTGATAGCAACTTCCTCTGCTGCTTTTCCATGTTATGCCACCTAAGAATTAGTATTTCAATTGAAAAACATTAATGATGTCTTTTATTATTGTTATTGCTGATGTGAACTTTTTAACATTATCTTCGGACATGCTCTTAAGACCTTCGCTTCTCATCTGCTTCTCTTCGTCCGCTTCTCTCCCTTGCTCTATCCATCTGCTTCGTCTGCTTCTCTCTCCTTTGCCCTATCTATCTGCTTCTCTCTCTCCCTCCATTCACCAAGCCGGTCGAGATCGGCGCCCCTCTCAATTGCTTCCCGGAAGCAAGAGCCGTCGAGCACATTCGAGTCGTGGCCCAAGAAATCGACGACCGCCAGGTGAGCTCACTTTTCATTGCCCTCGCTGCATTTTTCTCCCCTTTTTGTCCAAATTGATTACTTGTTTTACACGTGCTTAAGGGATTGAAGTCATAAGAGTTTGGGATAAACCATACTTGTAAAGCTATCAGGGAATGTATTTGGATTGATACACAGCTATAAGTAGTCTCAGTTTTCAATGTTAACTATTCTGATATGATAACTTTGGTTTGTGGTGATAAGGATACTTGTTTATACGATTTTATTAGGATTACATGATGGGAAGTAACCTAATCAAATACCACCACTGAAGATATATAATAGGGGTCCTGCATTCACACTAATTACGCAAAAAGAACAAGCCCCGTTATTTGTTAATTGCATACAGTAGTGTTGAGTGTAGAAGAGCTCTATTTTCTTAAGCTGCAATGGTTTCGCAAGGTTAGTGGTTAATTGTATTTGTGTTCATGTTTGTTTCCGCAATAATAATCTTACACTTGATGCATTAGTTTAACTTTAGGTTCATAAATGCCAATGCATTATTCTTGTGAGCCCATAAGTTTCAGATGTCAGCAGCAAGCTTGGTTCTTTTTCTCATGGGTTTACATATTCTGGACACTCTGTAGACTGCGCTGTTGCAATTCAAGCACTCAAGATGTAGACAAGTGGTTGAAGGGCACTGAATATGTACTGAAGGAACCTAAGTTTAAGCACTAAGTAGTTGCAATTTGTAAATGTATTGGTGGCTGACAATGGTGAAAAAAATATGTAGACTTTCATCTAGAGCAAATGAATGGTATTCTGAATGAAGCATCTTCTCTCTTGAAAAACGTTTTTTGACAAGAAAGTGGAAGTTTTCATAAGGGATACTTTGGATGTGATCCCTAATCCTTAACAGTATTTGATTAAAACCTTAATAGTATTCAAAGTTTGATCTAAGTCTCTTGAATTTGTACACCTCATTATATTACTATTAATATTTATATTTTTATAGTTTTGACATTAATTGTTTGATATTTTATGAGATTTATAATCCTATAAATTTAAAATCCCTCATTATAATACTATTAGAAACGGTTACAATAAAAAAATTCAAACATTTTGATATAATAAATGGATAAAAACTATGTAAAAATAAGAAATAATAAATGGCAAAAGAATGTATCCATAGTGTTAAAAAAATTAGTACATTTTACAAAAAAAATAGGTACATTTCACATATAACAAAGTGGTACATTAATAAAGAAGAATAGATTCATTATAAATAAATTAGGGTACAGATAAAAGATTAAAAAATTATGAGTACAAATGAATTTTTTTAAAATATAGGTGCTAAAAGAAATTAATACATGGGTACAAAATAAAACTAAAAAGAAAATACTACAAATTTAAAAAAAAAATGTTTCAAATTAAAAGTGGGTACAAACTAAAAATATAAATATATGATACAAAGTTTAGGCATAAAACATAAATATATCATATGTAATTTTTCTATCATTGATTAAATATACAATGTCACGTGATGGTATACACATGGGTACAAACACAAATAAAACTTTAGAAAATTGGGCACAAAAAGAAGCTAATATATGGGTACAAATTAACAATGAAAATAAAATTGGTACAAATTAAAAAATATTTGCAAATTAAAAATAGAGTAAATTGTAGCTATGGTCCCTTAACTTTAACTCAATTGGAGCAATGGTCCCTCAACTAAAAATCCATTACCTTTAGTCCCTCAACTTATCAAAACGTGCAGCTATGGTCCCTTAACTAAAAATCCATTACCATTGGTCCCTGAACTTTAATTCAAGTGGAGAAATGGTCCTTTAACTTTAATCCAATTGTAGCAATGGTCCTTACAATATAACTCGTTTTGACAAAATTTTTGACATAGTTGACGAAAAGAACCATAATTATACACTTTGATGAGTTGAGGGACCCTAATTATATAAATGGTCATTCCAACATAGCTTATTTTGACAAAATTTTGACAAAATTGATGAAAAGGACTATAGCTACACATTTTGATAAGTTGAGGGACCAATGGTAATGGATTTTTAGTTGAGGGACCATTGCTCCAATTTGATTAAAGTTGAGGGACCATTTGTACAATTTACTCTTAAAAATAGGTACAAACTAAAAATAAAAATATATGATTAAAAATTTAGCCATAAATATAAATATACTAATTGTAACATTTTTAACATTAAATGAATATATTTAAAAATAAAAATAATTTATTATTCAAATAATTAATGATGTTATTAATACCCAAGGACCTTGATAAAAATTGAAAATGAATAGGATTTTAATCAATAGAGTAACAAAAAGAAGGATGTGAACCTAATTTTCCCTTTTCATAATTAAAAATAAAAAATAAAATTTAGTCTAGGCTAGTCCAGAACTGCACTAAACGTTTCATAATTTTAGTACTGCTTAGTTCACTAATACAGCTTAGTCCCTGAAATTAGTTTAATCTGAGATAGTCCAATGCAACAAACGCACCCTAAAAGATTATATTGACTCATTTATTGTAAAATAACTAATATAAAACTCTTATTTATAGGAGAAAACGAAAGCAAACTCAAACTTTTTTTTTTTGAGGTGAACCAACCCCTGTTAAGAATACTAATTCATGGTCCACAAAAAAATCAATAAAATAACAATAAAAATAAAACTAATTTTCAACAGGGCCTCAAGAAGCATTCAACAAATGCTTTATACATTCATTCTTTTTCTGGCGTGAGGAAGAAGACAGAGGACCACTATCGCATTCAATTCCATTTGTCTGTATCGTTCAAGGCTGATAATGAATGAACAGGACTAGTAGATGAATGTTTCTATCATTTGGTATCACGTCATATCATCTTTACTAGCTTTGATGAAAACAGGTTAATTAATCGCATTCTTATGGATAACGTCCAACTTTTCTCTTCGCTGTATTCGATTCACCAAATTGTTTAAGTTTACGGATGAAGAACCGTGTGGACTGGTGGCTTCTTCTGCAAGTTTCTTCCACTCCATGGCCTTAGTTCTCATTCCCGTAGCTTTCTCTCCCTCCATTAACTCTCTAACAAGCTTCTTCACTTCCTCTCTCTTCACATTCTTATCCATCTCCATACCAATGCCCCATTCTTTGCAAGTATAATGACAGTTTGTTTGCTGATCAGAATGGAATGGGCAGCATAACAGAGGCACTCCTGCAGACACACTCTCAATTGTTGAATTCCAACCGCTGTGTGTTAAAAACCCTCCAATCGATGGGTGGTTAAGTACTTGCTCTTGTGGGCACCAACTCGCTATTAGACTTCTTCCCTTAGTTTCATCCACAAACTCAGGTGGTAAAATTGCGGATTCACCGATGACCAAGTCAGGCCTAATTACCCAAAAGAAAGTAAGCTTGCTATTTGCAAGTCCCCAACCAATCTCCAGAAACTGTTCTGGTGTAATGAACGATGCGCTGCCAAAATTCACGTAAACAACAGAATTTGACGCCTTGGCGTTTAGCCATTTAAGGCACTCCGTTTCTTCTTTCCATAAGCTGTATCCCATAGGCTTCAAAGGGTCTTCTAGTATCTGATCGAGAAGCAATTGCAGAGGGCCAACCACGTAAACATGTGGAAGTATGGATGAGAGAGCCGCCAAAACATCTTGTTCCAGTGCATCAAAAGTATGAACAACAACTGCTGAAGCTTTATGAGCTCTGTCCACTGCTTCTAAGATGTGTCTAAAGTAGATATCGTCGGGATTTGTAGTTTGAAAGAGGGTCGGTAGGTCCCTTAGACGGATAGTTTTCATTCCCAGAATCCAATCTATTACCTTGTCTAGAAATCCATTTGTGAAATAACTCTCATCTAAAATATTCTAGTAAAGAAAAATGATCATTTGATTAGGACAAGAAATTAATAAATCTAGTTTAAACAATTGCTTCCATTATTTCTTCACCTTTGAGTCGTGCAAGTCCCTTTTCCACCAAAGCGGGGTACTGCATAAACCCCATAAAGCTGCTTGCTGCAAAAGTAAAGAACAGTGCTATAGGAATGCCAAGTTTCTCAGCTGCAAGGGTCGTGAATGACATGAAACCATATGAAACAAGTTGAATATCAGAGTGCGCAATGAATAAAACTAACAAAATAAGAATATTATTAAACAAACGAGAATGCCGAAACGGCTACAAAACCCTAAAGGTTACATTGTGAATGACTTGTTTTCAAACTAAATTACAAGCTCTATTTATAGAGAACCAAACCTAAGAAACCCTAACTCGGATGGGTTAGGCCCAAATCCTAAATTAACAAGAAGAACCCAAATATTAAAATAAACCTAAATACTAATATTTTCCAACATCCCCCCCCCCCGGTCAAACTCATGGCGGTACACAACATGAGTTTGCCAACAAGCAGATGTGGATGCAAGCCTCCAAATTCCAATGTCAATGCCGATGTTGATGCCGGTACACAACATGAGTTTGCCAACAAGCAGATGTGGATGCAAGCCTCCAAATTCCAATGCCAATGCCGATGTCGATGTCAATGCTGATGCCGATGCTGACTTCCGAACAAACAAACAAACAAAAAATCCAGCCAAATTTTTTTTCCCTTTGCCGGTATGGGCCTCAAACAAGCAACCAATTTTTTCTTGTTTCTTCCTTTTTTTTTTTTTTTACTCCCCTTTTTTTCCTTCTTTTTTCATTCCATTCTTCTTTTTCCTCTTTTTTTCCTTTGCAGCAATACAGACTTGCGGATACTCCTGCAGGCTGCGGTGTTCAAAGGTGCAGAAGCAGAGTCACGGGACAAAAAACGAACGAACAATTGTTTTCTTCTTGCAAACAATCAATACCAACTAACAATCTAAACATGAACGACAACGGAAACAAGCAAATAGATACCAACCCGAAGCAGATTAAATCCCGAAGGATCAAACTTGCTCTGATACCAAGTTGAATATCAGAGTGCGCAACGAATAAAACTAACAAAATAAGAATATTATTAAACAAACGAGAATGCCGAAACGGCTACAAAACCCTAAAGGCTACATTGTTAATGACTTGTTTTCAAACTAAATTACAAGCTCTATTTATAGAGAACCAAACCTAAGAAACCCTAACTCGGATGGGTTAGGCCCAAATCCTAAACTAACAAGAAAAACCCAAATATTAAAATAAACCTAAATACTAATATTTTCCAACAAAACAATGCAAGTCATTGGAGGATTAACATCATTGGACGTTAATGCAGTGTTGAATTTTTCGACGAGGCTAAGAAACGGAGGTAAGATACTTTGCCTGATGAAATGAAAGAGCAAAATTATGTCTTCTGGGGTACGTTTATCCGAACTAATTGTATGACCATCTGGGATTGTTTCGTATCGAAAATCAGGCAAGCCATCAAGCGAGTTGGGTCCAAGGGATTTAAGAAATTGCTTGTGGATGTACTCCGTGTTGACAAAGGTTATATGAAAACCTCTATGGTGGAGGAGCTTTGCTAATTTAAGCATTGCCTTTATATGACCTTGAAATGGAAGCGGAACATATACAGCATGAGGCTTCTTGCCTTCTGCCATGGAGTTCATCTTGGGTTGTGTGGTTCGTCTAGTCTGACCCTTTTATCGAATACGGTAGATTGTTGTACATAACACCGTTTGACAGTGAGTAGTGAGAAGCCTGTGGGTTTATCTTGTCCCCGTACGTATGTGGTCGAGTTAAACTCAATTGTCAATTCTTTAGGTTTATCGTGTTTCAGTTTGTACATGTGGTTGTATTTAACCGACAAGGCTCGATCGTTCTATTCTTATAGAGACAACGGGCTACACACAGTTCATATAATTTATTTTTGGGGCTTTTTGATCCATTTCCAAAAACATAAATGATTTTTAGAAGTGAGTGAGTCTAATTATCTAATTACATTTTTTTATACTCTTTTTATATTTTCTAAATATATTAAAAATCAATTAAAATCTTCGGCTAAACCACACAATGAGCAACCTAATTTGGTATCGAATTCGCCATCCACGAAATTCGAACTTAAGACCTCTCACTTCCAAGTGAAAAGGAATATCACCAGACCGTAATATTGAGTGACAATTGAAGAGAGAATTATTGATAATAAAATAATTAAATTTAAGGAATTGGACTTATTTTATTAAATTGGACTATTCTCAAAAGATTGGACTAATATCAAGTTTCCTTTTTTTTTTTTTAAGGAAAACTAATGAAAATGGCTTGAAAACTTTGAGTTTTAATGATAAGGACAAAATAAAGGGTAAAGTCAATAGTATCAGGATTGATTTTTTAGTGTTAAAATATGGTTTTTCGTTAAAGTGAACAGTATCGGGAGCTTTTCGTTAAAGTTCCTATTTTTTTTATTAGTTTGGTAAGGGCCTTGAGGGGTTCGTTCTAGTGGAGTTAGTTATTTCTAATTTCTCTTAGCAAAAGGGAGTGGCCTATACTCGTAGTTTCCCAAAAAAAAAAGAAAAAAAAAGGAGGTTACAGTTGTCTCCGAGATGTCGTTTAAACTTCCAAAATTGCATTTTAAATTCTGTAATAAAAATCAAACTTCTCATTTGTTGTCCGATTAATGTCGTTTTGCTTTCATTTAATTTCTCAAGGCCTTTGAGTTGCCCATTGGGTGTTGTAATCAGGTTATTTAAGCCATTCATTGACTCCTATTATGGTGATCTTTCAATCTTAATCTAACAAATCCTTTGGGACTATTCTCAAAATTGGTGGATTCCAAAATTTTGCCTTTAAATTACGTTTGCAATCCTTTAAACTTAGTATTGCGTCAGTTTCGCCCCATGATATATATATGGGAATTGTTGTTGGCACTCCAAACTTTTTATAATTAGAAAGAAAAATACACTTGTGAGGAGTGTAGAATGAGATTTTATGAGTGTTAATAACACTTCCCTATATATATATCAGAGTATAATAAGGTTCCATTCAAGCATATTCATATGGTATATATGCAAAGGATAAAATTCAAAGCTACGTACTTTCCAGTATAGGTCAAACCACTCGATTTGATTATGAAAATATCTTGTGCTTGATTAGGGTTTTCGTACTTTTGTTTTTCTTTTCTGAACAAACGACATTATCTACATTAAGGGAAATAGAGTGATTTATACTTGTAGCTCTTTTCAAGAAGGTATTATGCGCTCAAAATGAAGCACAGGCGCCAAATTTGTAAATTCCCATTGTGTCCTATTGTTTTGTCAATTTTATAGCGCTTCCTTTTTTTTACTTCTCCTCGTACAAATTCACCCAAATCTTGTCCTAGATCAGTCACCTTCACTTGTAAAGAACTCGCCCTCGAGTTCATCTTAAAAGAACTAGCGTTGACAGGAATCTTGATAAGTTGTTAGACATAGGATTCAATCCGAAGAACCCAACTTGGCCTTTAGTTGGAATCACAAAGGAACTAATATACAAAAGGATACATGCACAGTTACTTGAAGGAAAAATTTTACTATCGTAATCCCAAAGGGTTTATTTGACTAATGATTGAAAAATCATTACAATAGGAGCCATCCAATGACTTGCATAACCTGATTACAACACTTTGTGGGTAACTCAAAGGCCTTAGGATACTAAATGAAGGAGAAACGACATTAATCGGACAACAAATGAAAAGTTTGATTTTTATTACAAAATTTAAAATGCAATTTTGGAAGTCTAAAATCAATCATAGATCACTGGAAAGTAGTGAGTTAGAACAAAGACGTCGTGCTCTTTTCAAGAAGGTATCATGTGTCTAAAACGGAGCTCAGATGTCAAATTTGTAAATTCCCACTGCGTCCTTTTATCTTGTCAAATTTAAAATGCTTTTTTAAGACCCACTTCCTAATGTATTTCAACTATCCGAAATATCAATATTTTAGATATTCCGTCAAAAATCATGTCTACCAAAAAACACCTAAATATGAACCCATATGACCATTGGAATAAGGATTTAGAGTTTCTTTGTAGAACTGTATTTGTCTATTTTCTTCACTACAAATGAATGTCTTAATAATGATATATGAATTATGTTTTAGAAGATAAACGGTTCAAATCGTTAAAATACATCATAGAGTGACCCCCACAAAAACTCTAACAGAAGTCATGCAAAAAATATAGTGCAACGAATCCATCCCTTATAAATATAATCATCAGATTCCGCTCTTCTGTAAAATTTGGGCTTTACAATGGTTACAATAATTTTTAAAACTTGCATATTTTTCTCAGAAATTCTGAAAAGGGACATTAATTACCAAATTATAAATTTCATTCTCAATGTGGGTTTTAAGAAAAGCCCTTGTGGTTGTATTTTGATTTCAACACCGTTTGACAATGAGATATTGTATGTTGTGATACTCCATATTCTTTAGGTTCGTTGTCTTCTTTTTTGTTCAGGTCTGTGTATTTTGATTTCAACACTACACTCTACATTCGCACTCCTGCACGTGCCAAAGTCCTTATTTTAATCACGCATGCTATGTAATTTCACAGCATTGTTCTTCCCATTGTAACAGTAGATATTTTTATGGATACACGATCTACCTTTTTCTTAATAGCACTTGATTCACCAAATTGTCTAAATTTCTAGTCGAAGAACCCTGTGGACTGGTAGCTTCTTCCGCAAGTTTCTTCCACTCCATGACCTTGTTTTTCATTTTCTTGCCCTTCTCCCCTTCCATTAACTCTCTAACAAGCTTCTCCACTTCATCTCTCTTCACATCATTATCAATCTCCATGCCGATCCCCCATTCATTGCAAGTATAGTAACAGTTGGTTGTCTGGTCGGCAAAGAAGGGCCAACAGAGCATAGGCACTCCTGCAGACAAGCTCTCAATGGTTGAATTCCAACCGCTGTGCGTCAAAAACCCGCCAACCGACGGATGGTTTAGGACTTGCTCTTGGGGGCACCAACTCGCTAGTAAACCTCTTTCCTTGGTTTCAAACTCAAACTCTGGTGGAAAAATCGCTGATTCACCAATAACCAAATCAGGCCTAATTGCCCACAAGAAGGGAAGCTTACTATTTGCAAGTCCCCAACCAAACTCCAAAAGCTGTTGTGGTGTCAGGGATATTAAGCTGCCAAAATTCACATAAACAACTGAATTTCGCGCCTTGGTGTTTAACCATTCAAGGCACTCGGTTTCTTCTTTCCACATACTATATCCCATAGGCTTCAAAGGGTCTAGTGCAAATTGATTGAGAAGCAATTGGAGAGGGCCAATGGAATAAACAGGTGGAGGTATAGATGACAGAGCACTCAAAACATCTGGCTCCAATGCATCAAAAGTATGAACAACAACTGCTGAAGCTTCATGAACTCTTTCAACTGCTTCCAAGGAGAATTTAAACACAAGGTCATTCGGATCTGTAACTCGAAAGCAAGTTGGGAGATCCCTCAAACGGATACCCTTCATTCCTGGAACCCAATCAATTACCATCTCCAAAAATCCATTTGTCAAGCAGCTCTCGTCTACAACACAACATCCAAGTAAAGGCAAATTAATCTCATCAATAGTTTGTCTGATAAATTGGCAAAAGGAGTATTTAGGGCCTCTATGGAACTGCATGACAAAGCTAAATGCACTTTCTAACAACCAAAAGCACTTCCAACTATATTTCGAAGAAAAACTTAAAAGTGCTTATGATCATGTAGAAGGGTGTTCTGGACTCATGAATAAGACCACTTGGATTTTTAATAAATTTCGTACAAATTTATAATAGAAGCTGAAGCACTTAGGCAAAAAATCTTACTAGGAGAAGTGCTTCAGCTTCTCACCTTTCAAAGGCGCAAGTCCTTTTTCCACCAAAATAGGATATTGTTTAGAACCCGTGAAGCCGGCTGCAGCAAAAGGAAAGAAGGCAACGATAGGAATTTCAAGCTGTTTAGCAGCTGTGATGGTCGATGTCATAAAACCATCTGAAACCATACAAGTCACTGGAGGATTCCTGTCATTCAGTTTCTTGAGGAGGTTAAGCAACGGAGCCAAGAAGTTCTTTCTGATGGACTCCTGAAGCAAAGGGAACTCTTGGCGGGTATCGTTATCTGAAAGGCCATCTGGGATTGTTTCATACCGGAAGTCAGGCAAGCCATCGAGGGAGCTGGGGCCAAGAGAGTTAAGAAAGCGCTTGTGGTTGTACTCTGTGTTAACAAAAGTAATGTGAAAGTCTTCGTGGTGGAGGAGCTTTGCAAGTTTTAGCATTGCCGTTACATGGCTTGGAAGTGGAAGCGGAGTACATACAGCATGAGGCTTATTGCCTACTACTTCTTTGGAACTAGTCATCACGTCACGGCCGGTCTTGAGTTTTTTGGTGCCTGAGGCGAACGCTCAAACTTTGCTGTTCTCAATACAAGAACAACATATTAAAAAGAAATATTCAAAGCAAATATTCACAACCAAAGCACAGATTCACAATCAAAGCACATGTTACCTGAGGGGTATTGCAGCAGCTCTGTGCTCTTCTGGTACTTGCGGATTTCACTGCGGCGCATTCACACACCTTACAATCACAATCCAGCAACATAAAACCATATATCTTAAAACACCCAGAATTCAAATTACAAAACAAGAATAATCAATTACCAAATCTTAATTTATTTCAGTATTAGCCAGAATCAATACAAATTTTAAGATTAACTGGGCAGCTAAATGCGGGTTTGATTACATACCCAAGAGTAACAGTTCCAGGACCGACGGGACCGTTGGTCAGCGTGTGGGTACACAGCCACTGGGTGGACGGTGCAGCCGCGCAGGACCGTTGAGTCTGGGTCTTGCCGTCTTGGCCGAGCTCATGTTAACACCGACCCAATGCCGACCCTCCATCTCATATTATATGTATATATATGTGTGTGTGTGTGTGTGTGTATGCGTGTGTATATATGTATATATTATATGTGTATTGTATGTACACATATATTTGGTATATACTTCAACTTTGTATGAATGCGTGTGTGTATATGTATATATTATATGTGTATTGTATGTACACATATATTTGGTATATACTTCAACTTTGTATGAATGCGTGTGTATATATGTATTTATTATATGTGTATTGTATGTACACATATATTTGGTATATACTTCAACTTTGTATGATGGTTATTCATATAAACAATGGACGGTCGAGTTTGCTCTTTGTATATGTATATATATGTGTGAGTGTGTGTGTGTATATGCGTGTGTATATATGTATATATTATATGTGTATTGTATCTACACATATATTTGGTATATACTTCAACTTTGTATGATGATTATTCATATAAACAATGGACGGTCGAGTTCGCTCTTTGTATTTTTGACCTATGTGGCACATGTGGTGGCACTTTAGCTTTGTCGTCTATGCTCATTCGTGTGGTTCGTATTCATTTTAATTTTTTTTTTAACAAACAGTATTTTCTATACTAAAATGTAAGGGAGAGGATTAAGTCTCATACTGGACTAGATGTAATATTGCGGTTCAAATTCGTTTTTAGGAAGAATTGAACTTAAAGACCTCTTACTTACAAATGAAATGAGAGTTCGGCTAAACTATATAATAGGCAACCTAATTTAATATTAAATTCGTCACCTACGAGTTTTAAACTAAAGATCTCTCACTTACAAGTGAAGAGTAATACTACCAGACCGTAGTACTGAATGACAATCTTTTCTTCTCTTTAAAAATGATTTATTTTTCTCTTTTAGATTCTACCATCTAATTCTTGGACACTTACGCGTTCCCAATTGGATTGCTTTCTTAGTGTAGCATCTTTTTGTTCGCTGTACACGTGATATTTTCATTTCTCTTTACAGCCCCCTAATTCCCAAATCCCAATTGACTCACCCTAACCCAAACGGATCCCTATCAAACCACCACCACTTGGTCCACCTATCTCCTCTTCACCGCCATCTGGTACATCTCTATCCACCACTGCCTAATCTCTAATTTCCAAATTAAAATTGATCTGTATTTGATGAAAATTTTGAATTTTAGAACAGATTATAGTTAATGCTATGATAATTGGGATGCAATTTCTGGTTCTTGTTTTTATATTAATTTGATCATGTGTTCATAGCTCATTTATAATTTTTTTAGCTTAATTAACTGACATAAAATTTTGTTTTTATCAACTGACATGTGTAGAAATTAAAAGTATGGAATGATATTAAAAACAAATATCATCATCTTACTTTAGACAATCCTATTTCAGATAGTTCCGCTCCAATCTTGGATTGTTTCGATCTGATGATAGATTATCCTCCTAATATTTGGGATGAGCTGTATATTGGTGATACCTTTAGACCTACAAATCATACTTTTTTTTCGGAATATAAAACCTCGTCGTGGACAAATTTAGTCTTTGTCGTTTGTAATGTTATTTGTACCATGAATATGAATAAAAACTTAGTATTACAATCTAGCTTTTAAATAAATAAATAAACGACAGCGGTATGAAGGAAGCTTATTGATATTGAAAAAAGAGGTTACACCAAGTTAGGGAGGACATAAACCTTACCCCTCATAGAACAAGAAAATAAAATACAAGAAAAGAAGGGGGTACATGGACATTACGTACCTCTCTTGAAATAGAATATACAAGAAAGGAAGGCGTGGACATAAGACCAAACCTTTCTAAAATAAAACCTGAAAGGTAAGAACCTGCAACACAAGCTACAAAACAAAAAAGGGAATCCAGAAGGATTAGGTAAAAAAGAAAACTACAAATTAAGCAAGGGAGACAAACTTGTAGGCCGGCATGCCCAAAAAAATTTGAATGCAAAAAAGGATGAATGTGTATAGGAGGAGCGGCATGCCAAACAAGTGAAGACGAGAGAAACCCTAAATTGGCTAATTTGTTAGCCACTGCATTCCTTCTCGAAATATATAAGGGCAACGGAATACCATGGCATGTAATTGAGAATACAAATTTTCCAATGTCCTTGGAGTGACTGAGGAGGAAAAAAAGAACCATAAGCAAAACAAGACATCACGCTAGAAGAGTCACTTTCAACTTTCAAGCCATAAATTTTGCCAACCTTGCACGTGAGCCAACTTTACAGCAAAGTTGACAGCATGAAGCTTCACATAGAAAGAAGTATGATGCCCCAAGCTCAAAGAAAAACCACCAAAAAAAGAACCTGCAAAATCTCGGAAAGCCCCATCACAAACCCCAAGACCCAAGTTACCTTTAGCAATGCAATCAATATTTACCTTGACCCAAGAAAATGGAGGGGGATGCCAAAGAACATTGACTATAGAAAAAGTTTTACAAGAATTAGCTGAGATTCCAAGTGAGGCTAAAATTTGCTTATCCAAAATACCACGTACATGACCAGGAGTGAAAACTCCAAACTGCTTAATCTAGGCCAAAATGGAACGACAAAGGTGTGAAAATGAAGGAGATGTACTTTCAAACTTCACTTTATTACGCATCTTCAAAATAGCCATTAGTAAGAAAACTCCTAATGTTAGCCAAACATTACGAATATGTAAAGAAAAACGTTTGACACAAAAGCAAGCTATAAATTCGAGAGGGACTCGTAAGCGGAAGAATAGTTTCAAATTGAGTCTCAAGCCAACACCAAGCACGTTATGCAAATTCACAACTAAAAAAAATAAGTGCTCAATAGATTCAAAATTCTTGTATATATAGTTGGCATATTGGAACTAGAGGAATACCCCGTTGCTAAAGTTGATCCTCAGTTGGGAGGTTTTTGAAAAGAATCCTCCAAACAAAGTATATGGTATACAGTTTCTCAATGCTTTCCAACTAGAAATTATAGTTCTCTCTACTGCCAACTGAAAAAATATAAGTTAATAACACAAATAGAATCGAAACTTGCAAGAGTTCGTGGTTGAAATAGTTGGGAGATAGAGAGAAAGATATCAATTTGTGATGTTGGTGGAATGGAAAGAGACATCAATTCATGACTTTAAACAAATGGGCAATTCATGTGTAGGTTAACCTACAGCAATTCGTGCTAAAAGTCCCATAAATTAATTAATTTTCAAATCTAATTGGGTCTATGTTTATGAATAAAATTACCACATAAAGGGAAATAGAATGAGGAAAACAAAGTGAACCAAGTAAGAAAAATATGAATTGGAGTGCAAAGCTGAAAAAGAGATAAAAGAGAAAAGGGGAAATTAGCTTTAGGGTTTGGAGAATGAAGGAAATAAGACCCTTATTTTTTGTGTCCACCCATACCATATAGGATACATTCATCCATAAATGCAGAGAAGGGTGACCCAACAGATCCCCCCAAGGAGCATGTCTAACTACCTGCATCCACAAGACACCGAATTAGCCTAGAGATGGGTGAGGACGATAGACCCACTCACGATCTACTAAAAGGCAAGTGGCTTTCCTCCCGCTACAAAAAAATAGATCTCTGCCCGACCACCAGAAATGATTTTATCTCTGTATGCCTGGAAGAAGAACAACATGTTGTAGAAGGAGATAACAGGTGGCTTGACGCACGCTCAGTTATTGGGTTAATGCCTAGATGAATTGAAGTGCAAAGCACCACTACCGTCGTTGACTAGCAATATTGGGTTTGGAGATTGTTTCAGAACGCTCAAGAGTGCAGAGAGAACGTGTTCGAACGAGAAAGACAGTGACTAAATGAGTTAGCTGGGAGCCTGAGATTGCTTTGTGTTTTTCTCCCATTTTCCACGCCAATCGACATTGTATTGCCCTTATAACACTAGAAAAATTTTGGGTTCCAAAACTTAGGCTGTCTGCTACAAACAGTTTTCTCGCTGGACACTAATGTGACTCAAATAAAGAAAATTCTCGTTGTAAGTGTGAATAAAAGGCACCCTATTTGAAACTTTTGGAATATTATAGCGGGAGTGCTACATCGAGAACCCATTTTTCTTGCTAAACATTTTATTTCAACGAGAAAAACAATAATTCCCTCGCTAATATTTTGTGAGAAGGGAATATAATTCCCACTAAACCTAGAGAAAGAAGAACAATTTTTCCTCACTAGCATTATGTACAACAACAAAACAATTTTCTTGTCGAAATTTTTTTTTCCTCGCTGTTTTTTAGAGATGTATAGAGACTAAATGCAAGAACTCAAAATTTTCCTCACTAAAAGCAACTCTACAACATGGAAGATAATTTTCTAGCTAAAACGCTTCTCACTAAAGGACCGATAGGACACCAAATATAGTGGAAGCCCAACTCTTAAGTGAGAGGTCTTAGGTTCAATTTTGTGAATAGTAAATTTGATACCAATTTATGTCTCTCACCCTTATCGTAAATATAGAGTTATATCGTTACTGGTCTCTACATATGTCTAAATATCAAATTAACTATTATTTACCATTTTCATTTTTCCCTAATTTTTGTTTTGACAAACAATAGGATAATGTCCATTAAACTACAATATGTTTCCTACTTATTAACAAAACACGTACTCTTTGTCAGCTAAAAATTAGTGAAAAGACCAAATTAACCTTGTCAACAAAACTAAAAAATAGCCAAAATAAAACTTTTGGGTACTATAATAAATTAAACACAAAATTAGACAAAATTGTCACGCCCTGATCCCGACATACGTCCAGGATCGACACGTGACATCACCAAGTATCAGTATATCTAACATACCCCGCGTTCGAAATATGTACAAAGCACAGCTCAAGATTCGAATTGTGTAGAAATTTTCGTTTACTTTATAGTTGCATCTAACTTCCTCGTTAGACTGCCTACGTACCCTAAATAGGGATCAAGCCATTTGTAGTTCACCATTCACTATAATTGAACATTCATCACATAAACCACTATGTCCCAACATAATACCACGATTCAGGCATGCAACATTTCAAGGAACATTCGACGAAGCACAATAACATTTAATAATCATTATGTCCCAACATAATACCACGATTCAAACACACACACACATGTTTTCCAACACCATTCAATAATCACAGCAATCAATAACACATACAATACATCGAAATGCAGGGCTAGAGCAACACAATTTGGTCGAAGTCTACATCTCTGAAGTTGAAGTTTGGCTGAAGTCTACATCTCTGAAGCTGAAATTGAATCCAAGTAACCAACAAGTCAAATAATGTGATATTGGACCACTCAACAAAATTCATCAACATCGGGTTCCGGACCACTTAACGGAACCAAAACACCAAGTGGGGTTCCTGACCACTCAACGGAATCTGAGTGGATACGATTCTGGACCACTCAACGAAATCGCGGAGTAAAAGGGATTCCAAACCTCTCAACGAAATCCGAGTGGATACGATTCCTAACCACTCAATGGAATCGCAGAGTACAATGCATAATGAACCACTCAATGAAACTTAAAATGGAAACAATTCCGGACCACTCAACAAAATCCAAACCAAGATACGATTTCGGACCACTCAACGGAATTGCGGAGAGAATGGATTTTGGACCTTTCAACGGAATCCGAACCAGGATACGATTCTAGACCACTCAACGGAATCGCGGAGTAGAATGGATTTTGGACCTCTCAACGAAATCCGAGTGGATACAATTCTGGACCACTCAACGAAATCATAGAGCACGAGGGATCCCAGACCTCTCAACGGAATCTAGACGGAGCAGGGAACCAGACCACTCAACGAAACCCCAGCAAAACCCAGTTCCAGACCTCTCAATGGAACCGAGCGGAAGTCCAAGAATCATAACAACAACTCGAAGAAACAAGACATGAATCAAGTTACTCAATTCATGAAGGCTCAACGAAATGAAACAAGCACAAGTACTAAATTGAGAATGGGCCCACAAAGTGAGAAATGAAATAATATCGAAGCAACAAATCCCCATCACAATGGGTTAACGGTTCATCATTAGCCCTCAATTTCACAAGCAATTCAATATGCATTTCAAATCACATGTCACAAACAGTTCCACTACACAAGTCAAATAACATTTCGTAATAATAGATCGATGGTTGATTATTATAATCACATTTTCAATAAAAAAACACATTTATAAAACCAAGTCATATCCACAAAGGATACCAAATACGAAAACAGGGTAATAACTTACCACATACATTAAAGTCACTCACATTTCACCACATCATACCAATCACTATGTTTTCAACATGATAGCTCAATCCATAGCTTGTAACATATCAAAGAATCACAAAGCACAATATTATTCTCAAGCCATAATAATCAACTAATCTAATCATAATAATAAAAATCATATCCAACATCATTCCACAATCTTGTCCTTTAATCAATTCCGCGAATCAAAGATGCACAATATTTACATTTAACTACATTAATCAATCAATGAGATAACATATCATTTCACAATTTAATTAAAGAACTCTACATAATTCCTTACTAGGATTATGATTAATAACATGGAAAATCTAATTTATATTCACAAGATCTATTGTGGGTAATTCCCATTCACTCGAATCTAGGGTTCGAGACTAACCTTACGAAAATGAGTAAGAGTAAGGATTCCAGACCACTCAACAGAATCCAACTAAAATATGACACCTACTGAATGTACCAAGTAGAACTAATCCTCATCACCCATATAATGCGTATGGTCCCCTATTCGCGGATATACCGAGCAGGACCATCCATGTACCACTGCTACATGGTGTAGTAAATCCATCACACGACCTACCACTACCTCAACCCCTATAAATTACAACGTAGGTCCCTGCACTATCAACTTCTCATGGCCACCAACTAACATATCATGCAAGCATATAAATTCTACATAATACTTCTAATATGATTCTAGGATCACATGGTCATAACCTTTATCATACATATCATTCATATTATCAAGAAAATAAATAAACACACACACACACACACACACACACACAAACATATATATATATATATATATATATATATATATATATATATATCACAATATGACGTCCCATACACGTAAACTGAGGTATATATTATATAGGATAACTCACTAACCAATATAGGCCCACTAAGCCCTACAAAGTCTCTAGTAATACTGATTTTAATATTTAAGATTAATTCGTAACATATTGATCAAAAGTCAAATCTCTGTCAACTGTGGGATCCACAACCCTATACAAGTCAATCTGGACCATCCTCCCATGGATTTCCGATCCGTAACTACTCAAGGGTCTCATTTATCTTCTAAAATAATATTCTAAAATTTTGAAACAATCTAACGGTCAGATCTCCGCCAATTGCTAGAATTAGGTTGATATCAACGTTTGGTATTACAAACTTGGAAATTCAATTCGGGAGGAATAGTATGTTGGATTCCTGATTCATAAGTTTCATGGTCGTCAAATATTATGTACTATATCTTATTAAAGTTTGGTGACTATCCAACGGTCGGATTGTTGTCAATTACAAAAATCGTACAGTGGTACAATTATCCGAAGAATCGAATAATCGAACCACCGTATCGAATTTCAACGAACGGTCCTTAGATATGGGCTCAGGACATCAAGAACGTTTTACAGTCCAAAATCCATAAATTTTGACTATTCCCCACGCGTCGCCACACGCGCAACCGCGTGTGGTGGTTTCCGGTTTCTGCCATACGAGTCGTCGCCTACGGTGGTCCAACAACGTCAAGTTTGGTAGGGATTTACTCCTGGGATGATGGGCTAGAAGTGCCAAGTGGTGGAATCGGCAATCGCTTTGCCGATTCCCCAGAAAAATGAAAAGGGTGGCCGGAATACTATTGGTTTTCATCGGTTTTTATGGCCTCACACTGCCACATACGGTGGTTAATCAAGGTGGTTCTTGTGGTGGTGGCATCGTAAAATACTGCCGGGGTTGACCGGAATTGTCGTCAGAAGTTCATGGGTCGCAAGGGTCAATTGGGTGGGTTTTCTGGGTTAGTTTTTGGTTTTGGGTACAGATTCCCGAAATGGAAACTTTACCCATTTCTGGTTTCCACAAATAATCCTTGCTAACTATAGTATGGCCACATGTCTAAAAGGTTTCACTACTTTCGAGGCTTGTAACTTCTCTATTCTAACTCGGAATTCAGATTCATTTGCGCCTACGCGCTCTTGAGATCGGGCTCTACCCAACGAACTCAAGAGTTGATCGAAAAGGTCGAGTAAAATTCGAATGGCAGAAATACCCTTCACTTCACTTTTCTCAAAATTAGAGAATTAACGAACTAATTTCTATTAACTCTCCGTAATACGTCAAAAATAAAAGAAAATACTAATTTTGGAGATGGGATATCACAAAAATAACTAAAGAAAATGCTTGAAGATGGTTATATCAGACGGGGTTTGCTGAAGTCTTTTGTTTGCGTACAGTCAATACATCCTAAATGTATAATGCTTTATTGATGTGGTATGAAATTCAATGTTATTGATAAAAAAATAAAAGAAGGAAAATGCCCCTGCTCTTCTCTCCGATTTCCTCTCAGGCTTCTCCTCCTACATTAACACCGTTACAAACCTCCTAAGGTCCGTAACTTCAAACACACTCTAAAAGAAGTCAATCTAAAATATCCAGCAAACCAAACCAAAACATCAACAACAACAAAGTTAAGGCCAATAAAGGTTGCAAAGGACAACACCTAGCCTTTCCTTAATAGCACTCGATTCACCAAATTGTCTAAGTTGGTCCATGAAGAACCATGTGGATCAGTTGCCTTTTCTGCTAGTTTCTTCCACTCCTCGGCCTTATTTTTCATTTTCTTACCCTTCTCTCCCACAATCATCTCTTTGACAATCTTCTCGACATCGTCTCTCTTGGCATCCTTACTGATTTCCATGCCAATACCCCATTCATTACAAGTATAGAGACAATTTGTTCGTTGGTCGGCAAATAAGGGACAACAGAGCATAGGCACTCCGGCAGACAGACTCTCAATGGTTGAATTCCAACCACTGTGTGTTAAAAACCCTCCAACTGATGGATGGTTAAGGACTTGCTCTTGTGGGCACCAACCTGTTATTAGACCTCTTTCCTTAGTTTCAGCCGCAAACTCGGGTGGAAAATTCGCAGATTCACCAACTACCAAATTAGGTCTAATTACCCAAAAGAATGGAAGCTTGCTATTTGCAAGTCCCCAACCAAACTCAATAAGTTGTTGAGGCGTGACAACCGCTAAACTGCCAAAATTCACATAAACAACAGAATTTGGCGCCTTGGCATTTAACCACTCGAGGCCCTCCGTTTCTTCTTTCCACAGACTGTAACCTATAGGCTCCAAAGGGTCTTCTGGTACCTGATTGAGAAGCAACTGGAGAGGGCCAACGGCATAAACATGTGGAATCATAGATGACAAAGCATCCAAAACATCTGGCTCCAATGCATCAAAAGTATGAACAACAACCGCTGAAGCTTTATGAACTTCAAAAGCTGCTTCCAAGATGAAGTTAAACCTGATGTCATCGGGATTAGTAGTTTGAAAGGAGGCTGGAAGATCCCTTAAACGGATAGCTTTTACTCCTGGAATCCAATCTAAGACCATATCCAGAAAACCATTTGTGAAATAACTCTCATCTGCAATGCAACACTTAATAGGTCAACAAAAATTTCATAATTTGTTTAGGCACAACCAATTCATCATAAAATCAAACAGTTGCTTCATTAGCATTTATGTATATGACCTTTGAGTGGTGCAAGTCCCTTTTCCACCAAAGTGGGGTATTGCTTACAGCCCATGAATCCGACCGCAGCCACAGTGAAGAACACTGCGATAGGGAGTCCAAGTTCTTCAGCAGCTGTGATGGCAAAAGGCATGAAACCATCTGAAACAATGGAAGTTACTGGAGGAATAACAAAACTGTTATTGGAACTGGCCGTGTCATTGAGTTTTAAGAGGAGGTTACGGAATGGAGACAAGAAATTTTTTCTTATGGAATCACATAGCAAGGGGAGGTTTCGGGTTGTTGCATCAGCCTCTGAATCTGGAAGGCCATCCGGAATTGTTTCAAACTGAAAATTGGGGAAGTGATCAAGGGAGTTTGGTCCTAAAGATTTAAGAAAGCGTCGTTGGTTGAACTCCGTATTGACAAAAGTTACATGGAAACCTCTGTAGTGTAGGAGCTTTGCTAACTTGAGCATAGCCTTTATATGGCTTTGAAATGGAAGGGGAATGCATACAGCATGAGGCTTATTACAGAGTACAATATTGGAACTCATATCTTAGATTGTGTGGTTTGATTGTGTGGTTTATAGGTCTACCAACATTTTTGTGCAAGTTTGGCCGCCATCTGACAATGAGTTGTAGAAAGAGACTAGGTTATTTACAGTGGCAAAGCCAAGAGTTGCCGGGGAGAGGCCCGACGAACAAATTAGTCAACCTTGTTTCGACATATTGCTGCCTTCAGTAGCTGAGAAGACTGCATGAGTAAACAGAGATGATACAAATCCCAAACTTCATTAGTAGTTTTATCACTTAGCACTAAAACAACATTATAAATTTGTAAATTAAGTTGTATGAACTACACTGCGTATTGTAGGTAAAATTGGAATGGAATTTTGTAGATATAAGAGAAACAAGAATAGAATGTACCTGCAGAGTTGCTAATGCAAACGGAAAAGCCCTCAAGTATCTTGCTACGTTGATTCCAATTGGAAACAACAATCCCCAACTCATAGCATTCAAAATTCATGATATTACGAAACACACAGCCACCGTGATGAATGGTTCACCGCTCACCATATCATATTAACTCATGACATAAACAATTAGTCTCGCAATTTGCAACTCAACACATATTCTACTTGATCCTGGTCCCTTATCCCGCTGCCAGGCAAAGACAAGGGAGGTCAGACAGACCACCTGCACCTTTTATTTTCTGGTGAACAGGACCATACCACCTCTTTTTGGTGAATTTCAGTTTCAATCATATAGTAACTTGTACTATTCACTACATATTTATTTGTCATTTTTATTAAAAAAAAAAATAAACTTTTCGTTAACTTTCCTATGTTTTTTAACCGTTATATCTTTATTTTAAACTATAAAAATCAGAATTTAATAGTAAGAGTATCAAGTAATGTGAGCAGGAGCGGATCTATTTAAGGACCCAGGTTGTCACTGGACCCTCCAAAAGCTTGAAGAAGTGCCTATAAGGACCTCGAAGACCACCTGACGGGCAGCATGTCAGATGATGGAAGGGAGCGGTGGCGTGCAAGCTGGTTGATATGATTTTTACCACCTGCAAAAATAGGATAAAAACATTTAAAATACTTAAAAGAGTACAAGGTAGTTGTAGAAAGAATACACATACAAGGCCGTTCTCCCCATGGATTATTTAAAACAATTTATGTAAAAGTCAAATCTTAATTAACTATTTGAAATTGAAACAAAGTTTGGAAAAGATTGATTTGAATTTTGTTTTTTTTAAGAAATGATATTATCTATACTAAGGGGATGAGTGTGTGGCTAAGCCTTACAATGGGCTTACAATAATGTGGTTCAAATTTGCCTTTGGCGAGAATAGTTTGAAAAGGATTTATTTGGAATTTAAAATAATAAAAACAATTTTAATGAAAACAATTAGAAAAAGGGGCGTGATATCCACACACCTCTTTTTACTTCTCACACACAATTTCAATTTTCGACCGTCGTATTAGATGAATTGAAGAAGATCAAAAGACATAAATTTAAAAGCGGTGTGCGAGAAGTAAAAAGGTGTGTGGATAGCACACCCCTTAAAAAAATCAGCAAGAAAACAAAATTAAAGTAAATCAATTCGACAATGATCCTTCCACAAGTTCACCTACGAAAATCTTGTTACGACTTCTCCTTCCTCTAAATGATAAGGTTCAGTGGACTTTTCGTGACGTCGCGGAAAGGAAACAGTTCATAGATCATCAAATTGTAAAGCTCTAGGTTACACTGTCACCTTAACAATCTTATGTAATTTTATCAATCGCTTATGAATTACACATGCAACTTTGAAGGTTAGGTTTTCCTTATGCATATTCTACTTGTAGCATTTAAGTTGAAGGTTAGGTTTTTCTTATGCATACTATACTTGTAGCATTCAAGCTAGAGCGTATATCAAACATACAATCATTCTGCGGCATTTTGATCAAATTTAAACATACATGATTCATTACGCTTTGTGAAAACTCTTTGAAAAACCATGTAACTCTTAAGATGTGGCACTCTCCTTTGTGAACTTATAATTATCAACCATAAGAAGCATTCCTTAATTTCAGGGTGACATTCTAATAGAAATTGCATCCGTTTATTTATCAAACATCGTAATGGTAGCTAAACTTTAAGACCATTAGACTGTTTAAGCATATTGATCAATAATTCAAAATATGCATGCTTAATATCATACGTAATTAAATAAAAATTATATATTCATGTTAAAGTTCATGGCCGTATCCTAACAAAAGAAAATTAGTTACACTTAATCATAATTAAAAAGTAAAATATTATTAAGAAAAAAAGAATTGAAACCATCTTAAATGAATAATACAAAGTAATAAACCAAGAAATAGAAGTGTATGAGTAAGTTACACATCACTAGCTTAGTTGCATACGAAACACAGACACCTTGATGCATGTTTCACCATCTCATCACATCATATTAATTCATGACAGAAACAGTTAGTCTCGCAATTTGTAACTCAGCACGTATACTACTTGGTCCTATTCCCTTAGCCAGCTGCCACGCAAAATAAGGGAGATTAGACAGACCACCCACAACTTTTATTTTCTGGTGAAAAGGAGGGAGGAGGATTTTCTCCCCTCTTAATCTTTATTCCCTTCATTTACCTTTTATTTGAACGGTTACTGTTTAGCCACGTTACCATTTTATATATATTTTTTTTTATAGAGATAATAAAACAAAAAGTAATATGTGAGAGAAGAGGAAAGAAATGGATGACAATAGGTGGGGGAGAGAATCCTCCTCCAAAAAGAGGGACCACACCACCTCTTTTTCGTGAGTAGGAGGACCACCACTCTTTTCAGTTCAATATGTTTGACCCAATTTTGTATGCACTCGGCCAATTAACTATTCTAAATTTCTAATGGCCCATTTATGTAATCGTAATCAAAATAGGAAGAATTTGATTGACGAAGAATTGAATTGAGGAGATGTTGAAATAAGGAGTCAGAATTGAATTCATGTTGAAGCTGTTTACTTAAATGTTCTGGAATCGGAGTAAGAATGAAACTGAATTCATATAAATTATTTACTAATTCATCTGAATTGGAATAAAAATCCAAAGCCGGCGTTGGGGGAGTGCGACCGATTCCATGGCACAGGGCCCCAAAATTTTGGGGGCCCCAAAAAATATTTTTTATTGAATATAATAATATATATAAAATAATATTATATAGAAATAATATATAGAAATACTAATCAAATCAAAATACATACATATAAAAATCTAATGGGCCAAAAACCATCAGACTACCACCTAAAAGCCATAATAGTCAGACTACTACCTAAAAGGCTAAAAGCCATCAGACTACTAGTAGTACTACCTACAACCTGTACGAAAATATATAAAATAATAATTAACAAGGGGCAAATTAATCAATTAAAGTGGAAAACCCATTCACCGAGGCAAACAATTCAAAGATAGACTACTTCTCTCACGCCAAAATCCCATCGCTGCGTTCCATTTTTCTTCTTTTCACACCAAACTACCGTCACTACCGAGGCAAACAATTCAGCGAAGAGCACCAGAACATGTGTCAGTGTGAGTGTCCCAGACTCCCAGTGTAATTCCCTTCTTTCTTTGTATATATCCCACAAATTATTAAACCCTAATTTATAAATTTATAAATTTGTGATCGGCTTCAAAACTTTCTCAAGAAAGCTGAGCTCTTTGATGTTGATGAGGATATATTATTAGTAGACTTGATGCTTTTACGAGAGCGTTTGCCAAAAGAAATAAAGACATCCATTGACATATTGAACTACTTGAAGAGGATGCATTGTTTCTCGACTGCAAGCATTGCATAAAAAATTTTGTTGGCTATACTTGTTACTGTTGCATCTACAGAAAGGAGTTTCTCAAAGTTAAAGTTATTAAAATCATACTTGCGGTTAACCATGTTGTAGGAAAGGTTAAATGGACTGGCTTTGATATCGATTGAAAGTGATTTTTTAGACAAAATTGATTATGAAGGTTTAATTGATGATTTTGCAACAAAGAATGCACGAAGAGCCATCTTTAAGTGAAGCTTCAGTGCTAGACTTTTTTAAGTTTTGTTTATTTGGCCCAAAAGCCATTTTTGGCGCAAAAGCCAGCAATTTTGCTACTGGGCTTATCCAGCCACAAGGCCCGTGGTTTGTAGCTATGTTGGCTGCTCTGCAGCCACTTAAGGCCCAATATGCCCTTTAAGGCTTTGCCCTACTCACAGCACCCTTGCCCACTGTAATTAGGCTATGGTTTTTTTAATCCAATGCTATTTTTGGCATTCTTTATAATTGTAACCCGAATGTTACAATTATTTTTGCTTCTACAATCGACCATGTATGGTCTAATCTATTAAAGTGACCAGCATTCCATTAATTTGACAATTAATCCAAAATTATTGGCCTGAAGCTCACTTTTGGCAATTAACAATTCAATAAATTATTTCCTTTCTTTGAACCATTGACTATCTTTCGTAGTCCCGTTGGGTTCCTGAAGCAATCCACAAATCCACTACACTTTACTGTGTATTGTATTATGTGTTCTTGTAGCTACCCCTATATATGAACTGAACGTTCATAACTAAATCGAACCTATAGTTTCAAATTTAGTGCCTTTGAAACCCCAAAGTTTTCATTTAAAACTTACCACATGAAACCCGTAGCTTTCATGCTCAAATTAAACCAATACATGTCTATAGAACCCGAATGTTCTACGATATATGTTTATGGTTCTCCATATAACTAACCACATTTTGTTGTACCCTCCGTGAAGGGACATGTCGAACTTGAACAAGCTCGATTTCATCGCTCTAGAAGTCTCTGGAAGAAACTACATGAAGTGGGTTCAAGATGTGAAGTTTCATCTTACTGCAAAGAGTCTTAAAGCTACTATTGAGGAACCAACCGATGATGCACTCGTCAACGAAGGTCAGAAAGCTACTGCTATGATCTTCATCCGCAGACACGTCCATGATGCACTGCAGACCAAGTACCTTGTAAAGAAGGATCCACATACCCTCTGGCTCGCTCTAGCCGATCGTTTTGATCACCAGAAAGACATTTACTTACCTGAAGCAACACACGACTGGCAGCATTTACGCTTCTAAGACTTTAAGTCCGTGAATGAATACAACTATGAAGTTTGTACAATCCAATCACTACTTCAGTTCTATAACGAGGACTTAACCGAACATGATATCTTAAAGAAGACCTATTCGACCTTCAATGCCAATAATATTGTCCTACAACAACAATATAGTGTGCAGAAGTTCACCAAATTTTCGGATTTGATATCCGTTTAACTTCTTGCTGAAATGCAGAACTAGCTTTTGATGAAGAATCATCAAGCTCGACCTACTGGCTCGAATGCCGCGCCTTGCGACCAATTCTAGTAGCCACAACCAATGGAAATCCCGTCATGGTTGTGGAAAATGACGGCAAGCCCCACCACGAGCCCAAGGTCAACAAAACAGAGGCCCACCTAAGGGAGGAAATTTGACCCATAAGCGCCAACCCCTTGCCCCTAAAGCCCCAAACTTCAAGAATAAGGGAAAAACTACCGTTCAATCAGCTTCCACTGAACTGGACATATGATATCACTATGGACCAAAGGATCATTGGTCACGCGTATGCCGAGCTACCTCTGAGGCTATTGCCAGGTATCATTCATGTCGTGAGTCTAACTTTGCGCCTATAGAAC